GGTTGTGGGCAAAAGCTGAGATAGGCAGGATGTGAAAGTAGAGCCAAGCTTGTGCCGCAACTTCGAGGCTCAGAGACTGCGGAGAAACTCCACGTACCCAGTGCCTGTTCTTCTCACTCGGCCATCACTCGGCCAGCTTTGATCTTGCAAGTCTTGGAGGTTCCCAGCCTTAGACTTGTGGGCAGTTTGGCAACCTCGCGCCGACTCTGGTTTTGCCCTTAGTCACAATTGTTTTTGCCGTCGGCTCGATCGGAAGTGGGTAATGAAATGGAACATGGGGACTTTCCCCGTGCCTTTTGCAGGCACCAGGGATTGTTAACCATACTTTGCCACGCAGGTCACATCGCCTACGGCATGAACGATGACTGCCCATACCATGAGCTGAAAGGCCCGAGTCGCATGATTTCTGCCAATTCTGTTTGTGGTGAGCTGGGGGCGAAAGGAGCGTGCTATGGTGTAGGCACTTTTCTTTGCGGACTTGTTACTTCAGGTTTGGGGCTTGTTGTACAGCATTTGCAGGCATTAACCGATGAAAGTTGGACTTTCGCGCGGCACAGTTCTTTCCAGCATGTTTGAGCCCAGATCATGCTTTGTAAAGCAGAACTAGTAACTCGTTTTAGTGTCTTTGAACTCTCAACAGCAACACGCAGCAACTGCGCATGGAATAGCATGGATGAGTTCGGACGTTGTTTAACAGGAGACGGCCGTTGGGACATGCGTGCTTGACACTTGAGTCTTGAGGATGGTGCTGTTATCCATTTCCATCAGTGTCCCCCGATTCATTGCTCCCGGAATACCGATGCCAGTTCTGCCCGCACAATGCCCATATCCTGAAGCCACACCATTTGTACCAAAGCTTTTGCCAATGGTTCTGCCAATGCAAGTTCCTTTCATGAACATGAAAGGCTTTCGTATCTCGGCATCAGTTTGTTTTAAACAGTCAAAGGCGTGGTTCTCCAAGGCCAGTTCTCTCATAATGCAAAAAACAATGTTGCAACCACATGGCCCTTGGCACACACAAATCACGCAGGACCGTGATTATTTGACATTCGGTTTGCAGTCCTGGTCAGACACGACCAGAGAAGACAGGATAGTCCAGATCGGGGTATGCAGGGCACGCACTAAATTCCGGCTTGGAATCTTCTTGACGTCAGCATTGGGGGGGGGGGAGGGCGTGGATATGGGAAACCTGGTCAATGTTTGGTGGATCATATTAAATGATTCTGCCCTAGGTCTGTGGCTGCACGTTGGCCAAGGTCATGGGAAGCGTGATTGATCAATGCACCTTTGCTTGAGAGAAGTAATCGATTCAGGGACGGGGGAAGAGAAGCAGGTGATTAACTTGCTTCGATCCGCAGGACGTTAAGTAGTTCATTGGCATGTTAACATGCGTGAGACACACATGTACTATATACACGGTAGTGGTTTTTATGAGGAAACATAGTATACGTTGCATTGGCGTGTTGAACATTATGACGTATTTGCGTGTGCACATGTACTGTACGTAGGTGTACAATTAAAACAAGTATGTGCCTACGGCGTTTCAGTACATTACTCAGGTTCCTGTCTCCCGATATGACCGACAGGACAGCAGATTGCCATCCTGGGCAATGGCGCTTTCGCGGTTGAGAATGCCGGAGCCGCAATTTGGTTCACAAAGGGAATCCCCATGATAACATCCCTTTTCTTTGCATGACTTTTGCTGGTGTTATTTGTTGGGCCCAGGTAGGTGAAAGTGGATCACACGCCTTTGTCCATTTCAATTTTGGTTCATCATCTCTGTACCCACAGCAAGGGTTCAGTAAAAGAGGTTTGCCTTGCTGGTTGCTGGCCAGGAGGCAGACAAAGCTATCAATCAATCATGATTGGAGCGTTTGGCAAATCTAAGGTGTGGTTTCCCAACTCGGACTCGCGAGCCGCGACGCTCAAATTCCTTTATGGACTGTGTGTACCTCTGAGAAAGCCACCTTTTCCTCTATATCGTACGCGAGCCCCAGGTTTTTTGGTACTCGTTCTTTGGTGCAAGGGCTGTTTGCACCACATCAATGGCAAATTACCTCATGGGGAACTAATTGTTTAGCCCCTGACGCTATGGGGTGGTAAGTCCGTGCTTCTCGTTGCGAGCGTCGGGTGCGCCAGCGAGGCCCGGACTTGTGTGGAGCATGGGGCGCATAAAGTCAGTGGCCTCAGCGGATCACATGCTTTGTGAAGCACTTGGACAGTTGGGGTTTACCTGCCTGGCCGTTGGTTTGACATGGTGTGACCAAAAGGAGAGACGTTTTGGAAGCAAGTTGCTTTTTCATGAAACCTACAAAAGTTGATTGGCCTTTTGCTCAGGGGAGGAGCAACCCAGTCTAGGGCCAACTACGCGCACACTTTGGGGATGTACAGGGTTTCCCGCGCGTGTTCTCTAATTTTAATTTTAGGACCTTCGGGATCGCCTTGGAAGTGACATGGTTGTGGATACAACTGAGGTTCCAAGGCATTTGTGTGTGTGTGTCTGAAAGTGGTGAAGTGGTCTTGGGGCCCATGGCTCGCACCCTCCCATTGCTTTTTGGGGAATTGAGCAAGCAGCAAACAGTTCTGGTTTGGGACTTGTAGCGTTTTGCCCGAAAACATCACTCAGGCAGGACCAACTCTCCCAGAAGGATGGACATCGCGCTTTTGTATCGCAGACTGTTGTTTCCTCAGCGACAGCATATGGAGCCACATTCAAGAACCTTCTGGACCCTTTGACTTGCAAGACAGTTATTCCTGGAGATCCGTTCATGCTTCCAATCCGCCTTGTGACGAGACAAGATTAACGGAATTGGGAGACATCTCAGCCCCTCAGCCCAGCCCATGGCTCGGAGCCTCTCATTAAATGGGGAATTGAGCAAGCAGCAAGCAGTTAAACACTAAACTTTGGCACTAGCGGGATGGAGCCTTCCAGCTGAAAGATGAGCCCCGATAGAAAACTCAACGGTTTTGAGCCACCCTGCCCCGTGCCGTCGCGGCTCAAGCACACAAAGTGCGCCCCCGATTTCTCGCCGAGCCGTCCAGGACGGGACGTTGCAAGCCGCCAGCACAGCAACACCTAACCACCGGTTTCTTCCAAGACTCAAGGCCTAGGGCCATATTTGGAGAAAACGGGGGGGGGGGGGTTGGGAAGTGGAGGCAGGGGAGTTGTTTTTGGAGCTTAACAGAGCCAAAGCGCTTGCCAGGTTTTCGGGAGGGCTGCTGCAGCGTCTCGTGTAGCGCTCATCATATCTTGGCGAGCTGACAAAAAGATGCGGCACCAAGGTTGCTTACAACAGCCTTAGATTCCCTTCAGGGAATGTTTTGGTGATGTTCCTTTTTAGCCCATTTACCCTAAAAGCTGATTCCCGCCCCAAAAACTGATTCCCAACAGGCGATTCCCCAAAAGCTGATTGGCTGTTAGCAGGGAACACATCAGAACAACTCATTGGACCAGTTGCTTCCCCTTGGTCCGTTTTTGCTGGTTCGCTCCTCGCTCGCTTTTTCAGGTAAGCCTTAACCGGTGGTTTTGTTTTTGTGGTTTGGAGATTTGAACCCTCCCTTAGAAACAAGTTCAAGAAGGTACCCACCGTCCAAACCACCAACCCAAACCTCCAGTGATTTTGCTCATTTTGGAGATGGCAAACGCTCTCCCTGCGCTTGGGGAGCCGTTTAGCCGGGATGGACCTAGGGTTTCGACACCCAGCCTGAGTGAGAGACGGGCAGGAGCGTCATGGAGCTGCGCGTAGAGTCGGTGGACGGCTTTGCTCTGCCCAAGAACTGCCCGGGCACCCAACTCGCAGCGTGTCGTGATGTTTCCGCTCTGAGAGGACAGTCAGAGCCCCGATGATTTCCTTAGGGAACCACCCCTGATTAGCATGGCTCGGAGCCTGAAATCGAGAGAATTTCCTTAGTGAACGCAAATGTTTACCCGGGATCAATGGAAGCCCCTGGTTGATAGCGACCGAAAGCTCTCTTCTTGAAATCCTGGACTTTGATCTTGGTTTGGACCATTTTAGAGTGATTGTAGACTCGGCCGCCAGTTTGCTGGGCGCTGAGTAGCCCACATTTGTTAATCAAGCGAAAGGGGATGTCTCTGTTTCTTTAATTTTTCGAGGTCCTGGACTGTGAACTTTTGGGTTTGGACCAATGGTCAAAAACGGTTTGGTCAACTTGGCCGACGATGTTTTTTTTTTTTTTTTTTTTTTTATAATAGGGGAAGCCCAGTATATAACTCCCATGTTTGAGGTTTACTCCAGGCCAACCGGCCCCTGGAGGGTTGGGTCTCACTGATCGACACAAGTGCAACAGCAGGGATGTTTCTGCCTATATGGCGAGCTCACCGATTCGGGGGTAAACAAACTCAACATGTAGGTTCAACGCATGAAGATGATCTTGCTGGCTTTTTGCCCAGGCCCAAAACTGTTTGCTGGTGAGTCACCAAAATATACACATGGTTCACGCATAGATATTAGAGTCTTAGGGGGCGAGTCTGACCAAACTGCCGACCATCGCTCAGGCTTCATTGGGGTCCGTGTGGGCGAGGTGCTGAAGCAGGGCAGGCCGGAAACACCGCTCGGGGTACAGCGAGCTCACTGTGCCGGTTGCTTGGGGGTTCAACTCTTTTGGGTTTTGGGCTTGAATTTGCGGGATCGGAAGATCTATCAGGTGTCCAAAGGCTTGGGTGACGCCAAGACGGCGGCAAAGGGGCCCAACCACCAGATGGGCCCTCAGAACCCCAAGCCTCACTCCCTGAGTTCATGGACTTTCATTTTTTTCGGAAGACAATTTTAGTGGCAAACAAAAAAGTTTGGACTTTTTCTGGCCATTCAACTTGAGAAGCAGGTTCCACGAAGCCTTTTTGGTTTGTGGGAAGCAGGGGAGGGGGTTCCAGAGGTAGCAGTACATGTTCTCCGATTGTAGGGAGAGTTGACACAATGCCTTTTTTTCTGGATTCAGCATAGTTCATTTGCCCAGATTGACGCAAGAACACGAGCTCACCCATGGTGTTGGCCCTTTGGTCGGTTGTTCCTTTCATTTTTGTTGCGCAGAAGCCGGGTAGTAGCATTATTAGCTCAAACGGGCACCTTAAACGCAACCCCTGCAAGTTTCTCACTCAGAGGTGGCAACAAGCATGATGTTCATAGGGGACCCTTTAGAGGACATTTGGGATTCCTGTCTAGGCGGTTCCAACCCGGCAGGTACGAGCCGAACCGTTGCTACAACTTTCCCCAGCTCGATCGGCGACGGAACGCCAAGGTGGACATCTACCAACATGCAACTGGGCCTTTGATCCGGGAGCATTCGCCAGGCCCCCCTCAAAAACCAGCTAAATACCCATACCAGGACCTCCCAATGGCAAATAACCCCAAAACACATTCCACAGACCATTTGCCAGCCATTGGGGGGTCCTGGTGCGTTTTTGTTATTTTCCCAAAAGGTACTTGTTGTTCCTTAGCATGGCTGGTCTTCGAGGCGACCGAATGGCTTCGGAGAATGAACTGTTAGGTACTACGGTGCAGAACAACGTTTGATGACCTTTTGCCCGGGGGAAGAACAGGCCAGCTGAAAGGATTCGTTTGAGCTAGAGGCGGCTTTTGGACGTATCGATCGAGAACCCTGATTAAGCCATGCGATGCAGTGGACGGCAATAAGTTCAATCACAACAACTGGCACTACGCATTGAATCTTTGCTACATTCTAGAGCTTACCAAGCTGGATTCGGCAATCCCGAAGCAAGAGACCCTTCATCTTTCTGCACCCCTGTTCGGTGACCGGACTCTTATTGCAGATTATACACTTGTCTATCAACGCTGGTTAGTGAGGGTTCCAAGCATGGCTTCTCTTTGGGGCCTTGGGGGCATATGAGCCAGCATTGTTGCGACTTGGCAAGGCTCGTCCAAGGTCTTACTCCTCAGGGCTCACAGGGACCTCCGCCTTTTAAGCTTCCTGCCCCAACCTGGCTTCAAAATTTTCTGGCTTGACTCACCAATCGGGGTTCCCAAAACCAATCGAGGTGGGAAAGGGGTGCAGCCCTCCCCCGCTGGGTATGGGTTAGTTGGATAAATGCAAGCATGTCCCAGAAAACTAGGTTTCCTTTTAAAGTCCCTTGTTGGTGGCTTGACTCGAACTGTGGACCCCAAAAGAGTTCCCCCTTGTCTACCAGGGTTAATGGTAGAAATGCAATATTATCCCTTAAACCTATAAAATAGGGTTTCTCTTCAAGGTATGCCAATGTTTCCCCTACCAGGATTTGACACAGCGGCCACCACAACGGCCACCCGCCCGATAGGATTCAACTCCCCACCTTTTGTTTTCTCCAAAGGCCACAAGGCAACATGCCATGTCTCAGTTTTTTGCAACTGGGGGGGGGGGTTGCATCTTATGGGTGCGTCCCAAAATGAGGGAAGCCTGGTTTCCCAAAACGGGGCCTCAAACTGGTGTGTGTTCTTTTGGTTTCCGGCAACAGGGTTGTTTGGCGACCCGGTGACCCAAGGATACGGCCCTTGGTACACTCCTGTTTGATTTTGATCCGTGGGTGTCTCGCTGTGGGAATTTGGAACGCTTGGGTGGATCGATGTCCCAGTGATCAATGTTCCATTTCTAGGATGAGCTTATCAATCCAGGGTCCGATTTGGGTGTGAGCTGTTTGTTTGCCAAAGGCTCAACAATCGTGATCACCCCAAGAAGGGTTCCATTTGCTTAAGATGCTTATTTGGTGTTAGAGGGAATCTATCACTGGAATTACCCAGGTCTTCCATTTGGTCACTGCTTAGGGAAGACCTAGGTATATTCCTATTTCTTCCAGGGGACGTATTCGCAAGTTTGGGGGGGGTCACTCGCGGCTTGGATGCCCCAACTCGGGATTTGTTTTCGGATCGAGGTGGGCACCTGCATGATACCTGTGGACCCAGACACCAAATCCAGTCACGAGCCTTGGATTGCGATGGAAAGCCAAGAGAGGTACCCTACCCCACCCTTTCTGACTGGGCGGTTCAAAGGAATCCTTAATCCCTACCTTGGGTTTCGGACGGGGTCCCCTTTGTAGTGGTTGTGCAATAGGGATTACGGATTAGGATGGGCCAACGCTGCATTTTGAACGGCCCAGTTTGCCATGGAACTTGACTTCAGGACCAAAAGGTCCCTTTGGGAAAATGGAAGCCAAAGCAGCACCGATTCCCCGGTGAGGTTCCATGCAAAAAAGGTCGGAGGGTACTTCCCTGCAAATAATATGGAAACGACAATACACACCATTGAGGAGGACACTCCTCTTGCGGGAGCCCTTTGTTTCCATGCAGATTCTTGGAGCGATATTCCACTTCCAAGGTGTTTTGTTGGGTGGATATGGATGCCCTGCCATATGGCAAGTAAGACGACTAAACCGATTCTCATGTTCTGGTGTGACGTACCATGTGGTTGAGTATGACTTGTAATGGGCATCCACCGTACCCAACAATTGCGAACGTGCGCAAAAGTTCGATCCCTTCCACCCCTTGTGGTTGAAATAGAATTGGGGGAAGGGCATGACCCCTGGCAATAGATTTATGGAAGTCGGCAACCCCTCCTGCCAGTCCAGAAAAACCCCTGTTAGGATGCCTGGGTTGGCTTTTCAGCTTGCGCCTCCTGTTGGGCTGGCTCTTTGCAGGGCGCCAAGTTATGAATTCTGAAAACACCGAGCATGAATTTGGTGCTCTTGGCGGTCCTTGCTGTTTCCCAAAAGGAAGCCACCCGTCGACCCACGCCCGCGCAGAAACTACGTGGAATGGCCTTTGCTTGAACCCAATGTGGTTCTGTTAAACTATTTTGTAGCAGTTGTTCAGTGAGACACTGTTTTGCTTCTTGCTTGCCAGTTCACCATAGTTCCCCGCTTGACGTGATCCTTTTTGTTGGCTACTTGACTCAGGCAGGGCAGCTTGTCAACACATGGCAAAAATCTAGCTTGCACCGATAAATAATCAGTCAGATCGCTTTAAGAGGGTCCTATTGAATTCCCAAACTTGAAACTGTTGCTCGTCGGGTTTCTTCGGGGCCTTCGTCTAGGGATGCCAATAGAGGTTCTATACTAGGAGGCTCTGCGAGGTGGCGCGAATTTCCGAAACAGGGAGTCTAAGGGGCAATCGCCATGTAATCTTAATGCCCGCAAAAAAGACTATCTCTGGGTGCCTTTTTTGTGAAGGTTTTTTTGGTTCCAGATTGGTTTTCACCGGGCCGCAGGAAACCCAGACTGAAACCCAGGAAAGGCCCATGGTGACACGTTCTTTTTTCAGATCGATTTCATTTGTTGGACGCTTAACGGTTTTGACACGTTCCCAGTCACAATGCGCTCTCGAAGCCCGGGCGATCCAAGGAGGTGACGGTCACCAGCATGGATCCGGAGCTTCCGGGGAGTCGAGTCCGCATCAACGTCCAGGCCAGGGACTGGCGATGTTCGCTGGGCCCAAACGAAGCGTATGTGTCTTTTTTCCGAGGAATCCGAAGCTCTCGTGTAAGGCCTTTTTTCTATTTTGGGTTTTGTATACGTTGGATATTCCCTAAGTTTAAGGCAACCACAACACCCAGACCCCCAGTGGGTTGCTTACTTTTGTCCTTTGCGGTGGTTGAAACATCACCTTTGCAGTCGCTGTAGTTTGTTGTCAGACAGGACTTCCTCTTGGTTTGTGTTTTTTCCATTGGCTAAAGTGATGAACAATCAATCTGTGTGTATATGTAGGGTTGAACGTCGGGCAACAACAGCTGTTTGGCCAATGACGGGGTTTCCTCTAGGTTTGCGCTTTTTGAGTGAGTCCAAGAATCTTCGCAATTTAGTGTCGTTCCAACCTGCGCGCTTAGGGAGATACACTGCTCGCCGTCTATGTGACAGGAGTCTTCTTTTAATTGACGTTCCACCCCTCTCTCTGGTTCGCTCTGAGGGGCTGCGCGCATCATTGCATCCAAGTTCTGTTTTGCATTCATGCGGCTTTTTGCAGTTGCCCAGGTGTTAGACAAGAACATGGATCCTTTGCGCTACCACTTGGGAACCCAAACACTTGAAGGGTGGAATCCCCTGAGCTGCGCAACTTGGCTTTGTTCTTTCGATGCCGGCCCGGATTGGAACCATTCAGCTCTATGCCAAAATGCGATGGATTCGTCACTGGCGGTACAGGTTCCTTTCACAGGGGACCCCTATTTTCGCATATCAGAATTTGCCCAGAATGGTGAAAAGAATTGGCCTTTCAATTCAGGGTCACAGACGGGTTTCTGTAAACATTTCTTCTGTTTTTTTTTTAAGGGTCTGTTTTGGGTGGTTCTCAAGGGGAAACCACATGGACAAGCAGCCATTTTGAGAGTCCCCCTATTTCCACACACACACACACAAGGGGAAACGTCATACCAGTCATACCCTACAGAGCACACGGGTTTTCCACGAGTTGGAAAGGCGATGCTTGTGAAAACACAGGTTTCCTGAAGGACACTTTGCTTTATGGAATGCAACAACAAGGATGCAAACAACACTGTGCTTCCATGCATTCACGACAAGTTTGCAGGTCTCCGGAGCGTCGGATGCATCGACGATCTGGGTAGGCAAACTGTACAGACCTTTTTTGCCAACCCACTTGGGAAGCGAGCGGCTTCGGTAAAGCTTTTGTCTTGGACTTGTTGGATGCGTTTCTTTTGGCTGCCTTGCGGGCGGCCAGTTGCAGTTTGGGCAGGCCAAGTCTGAAGACAGCCGGCAGCAGAGGGAGGAGCGAACAAAGGCCCCGCTTTGCCGGCCTTCGTTAAAAGAAAAAGAAAAAAGGAAAAAACAAGAAGTGCCCTTTCTCCCCATGGCCACAGCGGTTTCGAGGCGTAGTTGCCATGTTTCATTCCTGAAGCCTCAGTGTTTCCTAGGTGCGTTGTGAGACGCCCGTCTTATAAATACTGCCCCACAACATCGGGTTTCCCTGAGAAACCAGCATTCGTCTGGTCGGGATTGATTTCGATTCCTTCACCCGCCTTTTTTTCAGAATCCACACTGTGAAGGACACGTTTCGTGGACAGGGGGTACACACACACACGCACACAAAATACTTGCATCAGCCCAAACAACAGTTCCCGTTCTTGGTCCTGCATTTTCATTCTTCACAGGTTTTGGGTAGACTCCTTTGAAAAGGTATGACTCAGTACGCGGAAAGGCACCACGATCACCTGCTCCGTGAGTTGCAGTTGGAGTTCTGGTTTTGGGGCCACTTTCATTGCAAAACGCTATGGGATTCTTGGGTCTTTGAGCCTTGGAGCTGCCTTTCGGCTGTTCAAAGGCAACCTTGGCATACGGAAGGATGGCTCTCGCGGTGATGAGGAGCCTTATAAGGATGCTTATGAGGAGCCCTACAAGGAATATTATTCGAACCTTTATTTATAAGGGTGCCTACAAGGAGCCTTATGATGGTGCTTAGAAGGAGGCCCTTATAAGGAGCCTTATGAAGAGCCTGGTGGTTTGGATTGGGCGTGTGGGAATTTAAAGCCCTGGTTCTTGTGGAGCACGTAATGTCAAAATGGGAAAGCCAGCCCTCAAACTCCGAACCACCAATCCAGCCCATCAATAGGGATGGAAGCTGATGTTCCTTGGGACACAGTTGGCAACCCGAACTTGTGTTCCACAACCACGCCCTGCAACCTCATGGAGGTGATCCCAGAAACCACTGAGCAAAACGAAGAGCCAGACGCGGCTAAAAGGCCGGCCTCTTTGGGTGCTAAATAGCCAACAAATCATTGAACTTTCCCAAAAGGAAGCCAACATGGGATGCTTTCTATTTTGTTTCCGGAGGTCATGTGTTGATTATGTTGGGTTCCTCGAGTGGCCCCTTCTTTTGAAGATCCAGCCTGGCGACTGGACTCGCCGGGGGTGAGGCGCTCAAAGTACAAGCCCGGGATTACCTCATGAAGCACAGCGTGGAGGACCGATGGATCCGGGTCCGATCCTCGAGTCGTCCGAGTGAGCGGGTTTGTCCAGGGCTCACTGTTCATATTGCTTTGGACCATGCTAGTCAGGGGTTGTTCTCTTTTGCGGGAATTAGTTCTTTAAAGCAACATAAAAGAACGACATGTTTCGAGGATTCTTCAGATTGGGCCATTCAGATTGCGAAGGTAAATCAAATGATTGGGATACAGGGCTTTGGGAATGAACCGCAAGGGGATTCCAAAGAAAGCGGCAAGGGATGGTGAAAAAAGCTCAGGGGTGGTCATAAAAGTTTGGACTTTGTTTTGGCCAGCCCAGAGGAAGTGAGCTATAGTCCCCTTGAGGAGGTTTCGCAGATTATCTTATGGACGTGTCAAGTTGAAGTTTGTTTGTCTGAAGCAAGGGGTGATGGTTACTGCTGGGGTGGCAAGTAAAGATTCGTATTCGACAGTCCCGGTCGTAAACATGGTGCGGATATCCGGGCTTTCAATGGTTTAAATGGGTCCTGCCCTACCAGGTTGGTGGATTAGGGAACACTCCACCCCCATGTTGAACCAACTGATCTTTCTTGCTCTCACTAAAATGGTCAACCTCACCGGCTCAGGGGTTCGTTTTTCGGTATGGGATCCATGCTTGGGTAGGTTTCAAGGGAAACCAACAGGGAAACGCTCGTTTTGGCAGCTTTCTTATTTTGAGAAAAATAAACAAAAAAAACACACATGTAGCAACTTGGCTGCTAGTTGGTTGGGTTTGTTCACACCTCTGCAGCCCATAGGATGCCAAGCGGTTTTGTATCTCTGGTTCAGGGTTTCACCGAGGAATTCTGGGAGGCGCGGGATTTGTTCGAGTTCTCGTTCGGGGGTTCCGCGTTCCTAGGGTCGTGACCTGAACCAAACTTGCGAGCTTTTGAGGTGTTGTTGTTGGAACCAAACACGTAAGATCAGCTTCCCCCTAAATTTGCAGGTTTTGAGCATGACTCCCGTGCAGCTCCATTTCACGGGAAAAACCGTGAGGGTGAAAAAATATGGCGCGTACCAACCAACGCGTTCGGGCACACAACGTAGGGGCGCCTGTGCTTCAGGAGCGACTTTCTGAAGCGGTGAAGGCAGAGAGAGAGAGAGAGAGAGATAATTTGCGAGTCGGATTTTCCGGAGATTCCTCAGACTCAATCAGTCCGTCATCCAAAGAAGTTTCCCTGGGTCTGTTAGGAGTCAAGCCCCACTTGAAAGGCCAACCTTGAACATTTGCAGGTCTATTGCACAGCGATTTCGAAGAGTCTCCTTTAGAGGCCTCCTGTTTAGGTCTTCCTCCCTGAGGTTGGGTGTGACCTTCGCCCAGAATCTGCAAAAGGTTTCGTTCACAGGGCAGAGCAGCCCAGCCTGGGGGGCCCGAACAAGCTGTCTGGAGAAACACATGGCTTATTGGGTTCCCTGTTAATCTGCAGGAAAGTGACTATCTCTTGCTGAGGTATCGTCGGCTTGCACATGTGTCATGGATTTAAAAGGCCACGGAATCCCAGTGAGTGTTGCCCAAAGGATGAATATGGACTACTTACCCTTCCACCAATTAACATGGAACCTGACAGGGGGGTCCTGGAAGACCATTTTCCTTTTAAAGGGACCCCCTGTCAAGTTCTATTTAATTCGTGGGACGGCAAATCCTTGGGGTTTAAGATTTTGCTAAGGTAGAGGTTGCAGGTAGTTCCTTGCAGATGTATTGCCATGGGGGGGGGGGCGTGGGAGTGATGTCAATCGCACCAAATGGTCACAAGTCTCTACTGCATTGGGTTGCAACGGCTCCCCTTGCGAGTTGGCTCCAGATCAGTATATGGGTATGCGGTATGCGTCAAAATGGGGGGAGGTTTACTTTCAGTTTTAAACCACCCCAAACGGGTACCCTCCAAAAACACGCACCCCTAATCCACCTGAGCAGCGGTTTTTTTTAAAATGCAGGAGCCAAAAGGAGAGGGGAACTGGCATGGTAGCCGCGTAGCCTACTCCTGGGACCGCGTAGCCTCGCGTAGCCTCCGCGTAGCCACTAGCAAAGGGAGCTGTCGACAATCGTCCGCGTAGCCTCCGCCTAGATCCTTTGTCTTGAGCTCAAGGCTTAGGTTGAAAGCTTGCGTGTCTCAGAGAAAGAGTGTGAATTTGATTTGCCTTGGCCCAGCCAGAGCTGAGTTCGCTCATTCCGCGTAGCCTCAGCGTAGCCTGCGCGTAGCCTCCGCGTAGCCTCCAAGGCGTGTTCAAGGCCACTGGCCCACATGCCTCCTACTACTACTGTTACCATTACTACTACTACTACTGCTACTACTACTACTACTACTACTGCTACTACTACTACTGCTACCACTACCACTACCACTACCACTACCACTACTACTGCTGCTACCACTACCACTACTACTACCACTGCTCCTGCTACTAATACTTCTACTACTATTACTACTAGTGCTAGTACTAGTACTAGTAGTAGTAGTAGAAGAAGTAGTAGTAGTACTAGTACTAGTACTACTACTACTAGTACTACTACTACTACTACTACTACTACTACTACTTCTTCTGCTACTACGAACTTCCGGTTGCCGACGAGTATTCGCGTAGCCCCGGCGTAGCCCCCCGCGTAGCCACTTATCAACAAATATGTTCCGCGTAGCCTCCGCGTAGCCAAATTCCTAGGGGGAAAGACAGCCGCGTAGCCTCCGCGTAGGTATGTGCTTCCAGTGTATAGGCCCCACACCATTTAAAAAAACACGGCTCACCTGGTAGTAAGGATCTTAAAACCGCTGTTATCAGAACCATGACCATAGGCCAAAAAAAGAGTTCTGACCATGACAGATACTGTTTTGGCACTTGTGGTTTCGGCTTTGGACTTGAAGCCATACGACCTGCTAGGCCTTGTTGAAGGAGCAGCCTGCTGATGCCACGGCTTTCCTGTGCAAGCAGCTCATGGATTGGGACGCGCCTCGGAACTTGGGTGACGATACTTTGTATCTGGCCCTCATGGGTTCTAGCAGCTTCCCTCAAATTGGTGGTTTGCATTGGTTTGGAGGTGAGGGGTGGTTTCTCATTGGCCCTCTACAAAAGCCAGGGGGTTAAATCCCAAAGCACCAGCGTTGCACTTTTGTGGCCATGCCTTTGTGAGAGCAGGGGATGCATTGCTTCTTGTAAGGTGTGGCAGTTTGTTCAGCGACCCTTGCTGGGTGTTGGCTTAAGCCTCCCTTCCCGTGAACCATGCATTTAGAGCAAAAGCGGGGGAGCAAGGCTGGGACGAAGGGTGCCTATTCAGAGCTAAGACTAAGATGGCTTCCATTCCAGCACTAACCGGATATGCAGCCACAACAGACGTTTCAGCCGGATTCCGGTAGGCGCTTGGGGCTGTGGAATGTGGGTATGTGTCAACATAGGGGGACTCTAGAAAGTGAGCTTCTCCTTTCGGCTTCCCTGCAAACTCGTCTGAAAAAGGGTACCCTATGGCACCCTCAAAAAGACGAGCCGCGCTGCAGTCAGCAGAGGCCAAGCCAGCGCCCAAGACGAAGCCGGCGCAGGAGGGCTGGCTTCGAATGCCTTGAATCGGCGAAGTGTCACTTGGCATCCTTCTCAGTCTCTGAGTGCCTGGACTCGAGTTACTTTGTGGGCGAGAAGGCCAGTTGCTGGAGACGTAGCAAGCAACTGGGACTTCTTTCAGCCAACATCCACTCTGGAAGCGAGGTTTCATCGATTTACTTTATGGGCTTGGACCTTCGTGGCAAAGATGAAAACGCTGGTTACTTGTTTTGCCAATCCACTACATCGGAAGTAGTTTGCTGTTGAGCTTCGCTCTGTGTGTTTGCTTCGCACCCAATGGGCTGTTTTCTCTTTTTGATGCCAATCCTTTGTCCCCATGGAAATCCACTGGGCGTCTGGGTTAACGTCCTTTGGATATGCGGGAAAGGGGTATATGCGGCCGCTCTTCCCTTTGCTCGGGACTGTGGCGCCTGATCCCAGTGCCCGAATAGGTCACCAGACGTATGTTCCTCGTTCTGAAATGGTACACCATGTGACCCTTATGTTGGCTTTCCTTTGGCTCTCAAAGGTCAACTTGGGGTTTGCACGTCTCATTTGTCATCGCACGGCTTCATTTCTGCAGGTACCTGTTTCAGGTTGGCTGACAGGAAACCCAAGTCAAATACAGTATCAATATTTTTTATGGTCCCCTTAAAAAGGAGGCCACACACCTCCAAATAGTCTCCCCCATGTTTTAGGGTTTTAAAAGGAATCTATCACTACTGGAAACATTTGTATTTTGTCCAGGGGACTTTAGCAAGTGGAGGGTTGGGTTGACTTTTTTTGGAGGGGTTTGGAGAGTGCCACTGGCTGGCTCACAGATTTGTTCCGGACAGGAGCCGACGGCACCGGAGCCGGAGGATGTGCCCCAGGTCTTCGAGGAACCGCAGACGCGAACCCGGCGCCGGGTTGTGTTGGAGTTGCCCCCCTCCTTTTGTCCTCAAAGTCAAGGAGGGTGTCATGCAAAAAGCGGGGGTTGAAGGGTCCTCTTCAATTTGTTCAGGAAAGAAGATCTATCAAAAGGGATTGGTTTGTTGGGCTCCCTCTTGTTTTAGTAGACCTAGTGGGCCCTCCCAGTCCCCATATACACCCAAGGGCCCACAAGAATGAAGATCTATAATATTTGGAGACAGTGGTCGTTGGCTGGCGGGCTGGGGCGGTATTTTCGTGTTTGGTTCACCTGTTCGTTGCCAATGTATTTGGTGAGTTTGCTTTTGGGGTGATGTGTTTGGGTTGGAAGTATCAGGAGCCCGCAAAGCCCGCACTGGTTCCGCTTTGACCGGAATCTAAACCGACCGTTCCTCGCCATGAGCACCCAGTTATGTATCTCGGTGGTTTGGATTGGCTTGGGGGATTTGAAGCCAACCTTTTGCCAAATGGGCAAGGCACTCCCCCCCAAAAGGTCCCAACCATGAGACCAACTGGAACGGGTCAGTTGATGCCTGCAAAGTACCAGAAGGAGCCTGCCAAAGAGCTGGTCCCCCAAAGGCAGATTCCGCAACGATCCAGGGCGATGCGAATTGCCCTCGAGGATCTAAGTAATTACTTGGTTGTTGTTGTTTTTTGTTCCGTTTCGCAACCCGTGTTTTTGGTTTTGTGCAGACCTCCAGCCACCCTGTGCTTTTTTATTGTTCATTCAGATAGTCCATTGTTGGTGGTTTGGATTGGTGGTTTGGGGATTTGAACACAAATATCGACACCCCGTAAAGGTCCAAACCAAGCCACATCACGGAAAACACAAATTGAGGCAAGCTGAATCAGGGTTCTACTTTTTGACTACCCCAGGAATGATTCCTTCCCCCCAAAAAGAGAACCTTTGGGTTTAAGTCTATCTTGGGGTACACAAAAAGTAGATCCCTGAGCTGAATGTTTTTTGCGGCGAGCGGATAATTTTCTCCAGGACGAGGGCGCTAACCGACTCCGCCTGAACGCGCGCGAGACCTTCCTGAGGGCCACGGAGGATGGCTCCTTGGAGCGTGTGCCTCCCGGCTGAATCCACATGAGCCAATTTTGGTTGCACTCCCTTTGTGGTTTCCTTTATAAACAAGGGGATCCGGGCGAATCCTCTCACTGCTTTATGCGGCCTGATTTTGCCGCCGCACTCCCTTGCAGATTGTCTTGGAATGCCAATCGGCACCAGTTGCTGCAGAGGAATACCTTTTGGGAACCCCCCTGTTTGGGTTTCATGCAATTTTACAGGGGGGTATGAACGCTGTCCATTTGGGGAGGTCGTGGCGCGGGTGGGGGGGCCCAAATGTATTTGCGCAAATTACGAGCTTAGAGAATTCAGGGGTAAGACGAGTGCACACCCATGAAGGTCGCACACTTTACGGCAACGTGTTTGTTTCTTTAATTCCATCGCCAGAAAAGGTTATGCTTTGTTGTTGACGGTTGGAGGCTCTGAGGTTGGTTTGAAGAAAACCAAACGGACACCGACGAGGGGGGGGGGGGGGGGGCAAATCCGTAGTTTGACACATAAGCAGAGTTTTTGTTTGGCCATGCGCTTGTTGAGGTGTTTGTGGGGGAACTCTGTTTATGCTGAGTTTGCCCCGTGTAGGCAAACTGGCAGGGAGAAGGATTGCACAGGCCGTCCGAGAATATCTTGCGTGAGCAGCTTCGCGTAGGCGTTTTTCGCCATTGGGGTTTTGCGACGCACTTTGTGAACCATTTCTTTTTCGGAAACCGTGCTGGCCCCACGTAGGCTCGACAAAGGCTATTGGCATCCGTGTAGACTCACAGACAGTTCTGTGGCCGTTGTGTTTTCTCGGTCCTTCCCCCCCTGTTGCATTTCATTTTCGCAGATGTACGCAGAGATGTTCATGCACCGCTTCGTTTTCATCGTCTATGACCAGTTCATTTTCATTTGAGTGGCGATTTTTCCCGCTGCCGCTCAAGCAAACATGTAATGATGTTGTCTATCAACAACAAGGGCACCGCCGCACTGAAGCCGCGGAAGGTTTGCGGAATGTCTTTGCTCGCGGAAGGGACGTTGTTGATTTGCGCAAAGTAGTTTGATTTCGTTTGGGTGGTTGTTGCCAAGCACGTTTACTAGCAAACCGTGCACACGAATTCCCTTGTGGAAGCTACCTTCTTCTTTATTTGCCAGAGGCAATTTGCCAGCGGAAGGCCCGCTGAAGCACTTATTTAAGCTGATATATATATATATATATATGGAAACCCTTCACACTGCGGAAGCTTCGCGGAAGGTTTCGCGGAAGGGTTTGGTCTGTCAATGCAAATTTAAAGGGACCAGCCGCCACTCATTTGACGAGTCTTACTTTTAGGCATGGCTTCCAGTGTATGGCCCCGAAACACCAAAACAAACACTCACATGCAAAAAGGGTATGCGCGGTAAGATCTTCTCTTCTCATGGCCGCTGGTTTGGTGGCGGAAAACCGGAGGTCACGTTGTGCCTCCGAGAATGGACCATGGGCAATTCTCTTCCCATGGCTCTGTCTGTGGCTCTTGCTTTCAGTACTATTGAGACTTCAGTTCCAGGTTTTACCCAATCCTTGGAGCATACTCTCAAATCCAGACCTGCCTCATATTCCATTAAACTCTCGGGGGGCAACAACAACAGTGGGCCTTTTCCCATGGCCACTGCGGGGTTGGATGTTTTTGCCAAGTGCAGCACAGTTTCTGCCTCTTGGCTAGTTCATTGAGTACGTGGTTCCAGCTTGCTTTTCTCGAACGTCCCTTGAGATGTAGCTGGGCCTCGGCCTTGTTGGGACGCTGGTGAAGTGCTGTCCGTTTGTTTCGCACTGCCTGTGGATCCTTCTTTCCGATTGTCTAGGCCCCCCCCCGCCCCCCGCAAAAAGGTTCTTTTCTGAAGGTAAGACCCCTTGCTGTTACCCCGAGGCTATCCGGAGTCCGAAAGCCGCAGGGAGAGGTCAAGAACAAGGCGCGCTTTTTCAGCGCTTGCGCGTTCATCAAATTGCGCATCACGCGAAATAGCCAATAAGAGTTAGTTTTCCCAAAAGGAAACCAACAGGGTATGCATCACGTTTTTTGTCCCAGCCCTGAGTGTGTTTGTTGTCAGATGCATCTGGGGTCAACCAGAGCGGACCCCTCAGAATTTGGCCTCGTACTTTTTGATGTGCTTGAGCAGGGACTCCTTCACTTTGTGGGGCAACACCCTAATGATCTACTGGCTTTAATTCATTTCGGGGACAACACCACGTCAGCCGTTTGGGGTTGCCCAGTTCTTCGCAAATGGGTGCAAATGTCAACAGGGGAACGCGAGGAAGTGCAAGGGCCTCCAGAATAGCAACGGGGTTGAGAAGTATGTGTTAGCAACAGTATCACACAATCATGAGATAAACATGCTTGTAACGTCTTGCTTCTTATATGGGCCACATTTTTTTGACCTTGGCTGATAGGCTAAACTTATGCCCAGTGCATCCAGGCTAGCCACTGCAATAGGCAGCCTCTCTGGGTGTTACGTCGGTTTGTCATGATTGCCTATTAGGTGCCTAACACCCAGGTAGCATATGGAACCACAATTGTGGATTCCCCACCCATTTCCTGGTTGAGTTCTCCCGAATTGTGTGCCAACTGCCGATTGAGCATGCAATTGTGCATTTGTTACTCACAATGTTACTCCATTCTTTTCTCCACCTCTTCAAACAATGGGCCACACCATGGGTGGGTTCTGAACAGAGCAGAGCGACGGGTGAAGAGAATGTGGGTCCGCGTCGAGGACGGCGGCGCAGCCGCGCCGGCGGATCCGAAGGAGGCGCTCCGCGCGAAGGCGTCCAAGGCGTTGATCACCGCGGCGGAGAACGGGAAGTTGGAGGAGGCCCTGGCCACGGTGAGGAAGGCGCCAAGCCGGGCCGGGACAAGAGGAAACCAGCCAGTTTTGGGGGGTTCCGTGATTTCAACATATTTCAACCCCAGTTGTTTTCCTGAGTTTTGCTTCAAAGGAGCGTTTGAGGCTTCACAGGTCTAAGGAATCCATTTGCCTGTTTAATAACGAGCTCAATCGGGGGCAAAACGAGCTCAGCAGAGAAAGGTCCTTTACTTCAGGTGCCCCGTAGTTGATGGATTGGATTGGTGGTTTGGGGGTTTGAACCCTTCCAGTAGGGTGCAAATGGAAACCACCCCCTGATCCAAACCAATTGGAAGGAAACTGAATAGTAAAAGTTGCAGATTCCTTGGGAAAGGCTTATCACAGAAGTGGAAAAGGCGCCAGGGAGCAGTGTAGCCGTGATCATTTGTTTGCTCGGTGGCTTTCGCTCCATGGGCTTTGCTAAAAATGTGTATGGTACCACGTTGGGGGGGGTTAACCCCTTTGAGAGGGTTAAAGGGACGCCAACCGGAGAATACCCATGCAGTATTGATTCATTTTGAGAGTTCCTTGGAAGATCATTTTGAGAGTTTGGAAAGGTTTCCCACCCCAAAAGTTTTGAGAACTCGTAACCTTACAGCCCCACTTAAATTCTGGAAGGGGGAGTGTCGGTGAGGGTGGCGCCCCAGAATTCCACTTCCATTTCCCGCTGAGTGGCCGACTCATTTCTTCGTTTGGGCCTAGCTTGTGGGGGGAAAAGGCAGAAGGAAAATCCTGGACGTCTAAATGTTTGGGAATGCCATTTTCAGGGAAACAAAGCGTTCGGATTTGTTTCTGACAATTGTCTCAGGAAGTGGTCCTTCATGACTTCGGGAACCATGAGACATGTCCTGAACACCCGGGTAAGAGAAGGTTAGTACAGGACAGTCCCAGCCATAAATAGGTGCGGATATCTTGCCAAACGCAGCTGTATTGTTTGTTGGCCGTGCTGCCTTACCTCGGATCGATCCGCTCCGCAGGATGGCTCGGAAGAGAAGAATCCGAGAAATGTGCTGCGCATCAAGGCCTCCCAGACATTGATCGCTGCTTGAATGCTATTGGGTTGGAGCTTGATCCTGGCAAACTGGCTGGTCGAAAATCTGAGCCTTTCTCCATTAACCTGATCAACTCGCTCTTTTTTGGTGTACTTCATAGATGAACATGATGATTTTCATGCAACAAGTCCACTTCTTGGGAATATATTGCTTTTTGTTCGCTCAGGCTGCGGCTGAGAACGGAAAGTTGGAGGAGGCCCTGTCCGCGGTGAAGAAGAAGGAGAGCTTGGAATTGGCTCGAATTCGTCGGGAAATGCCTCAGGTGCAACGAAACCTGGGCTTCGCCGGGTCAACGTTTGTTGGTAGCATTCAAGCTATCTTTGCCCTTGAGCCCTTGATTAAATTGATGAAAGGAGTTTACTACCAGGTTGAACGTTGAAGGTTGCCCAAGTTGATGGTGTTTGGGAATCCCATGTTGACCAAGTGTTTGGCGCTATCTGCAATTCCTTTCCCAGGACAAGGCCTCTGGAGCGGCCTCGGCAGACACGGATCCGACGGATCAGATGCGTGCAGAGGCAGTCGAGATCTTGATGGCGGCTGCGGACAATGGACAGCTTGAGGCGGCTTTGAAGGGCTTGGTGAAGGACGCGGAAGACCAAAAGTCTCAGAAGGCCTTCAATCCAAGCTAGGCCCAGCTAATTTGGCCCACAGTTGACTTGTTGTTTTGCCTCAACCCTAAAAAATAATGTGAATTTGCCACAGGGCTGATGAGCTTGGTTAGCTATACGTGTCCTGTCCGCGTTGGATTGTTATGGGTGCAAGGCTGGAGAGAGTGCAAGCAAAAAAGGAAGAAGTGTCTCTCCCCCCCCCCTTCCCCCTTCCCCCTTCCCCATCCCCTCCCTCCACCGCGCTTTTATCCAGTCGCTGCGATTCGAAGGAGGGGGCGCCGGACCAGTCGGAGCAGATGCGCGAGCAAGCGGTGGAGATTCTCATGGCGGCGGCGGAGAACGGGCAACTGGAGGTGGCACTCCAGGCCTTGACCAAGGACAGGTTCCGCGTGTGTCGTGTGTTGAGGGGGCCATTTTGGCGGCTACTGCAAAAGGGGATTTAACGGGAAGCCACCCATTTGAGGGGTCTTCTCATTTGACACACACAAGCAGTGAGAGCCCCGTCCCGAGTTCTCAGGCTTTATGAACTTCAACAACATCGCAGAAGTGTTGCTTTTGTTTGCTTAACGACTCAGTCAGAGAACTTGGAAAGGGTTGTGAGAAGGGGCTTGGATTTTGGCTGAACCGTTCAGCTTCCAAGCTTCGATCTACTTGCCAGGTGTCTTCATTTTAGCCTAGGGGGCCAAAACTTGACACGCTCGTTTTAGCCATTCGACTCAGATGAGTTAGGTTTCTGGCAAGCAAGCTTGCTTCAGCCTAAGGAAGCTGATTGAGAATTGGCTGTTAGGGTCAAAGTCAGAAACTGGGGCTCGTGCACTCGTGCACCTTTTGCCTACCACGTGGGGGCTTTGATGAATCAGCCACGCAGTCGTTCAGTGGCCCCCTTTTCCCCATTTAATTTGTTCATGACTTCCTTACTGAACACAAACCCCAAAGGGCATTTTAGTTTTCACAGGCCACTGGGCAACTGGGTAAATACCAGGCATGTTGAGCCAGTCGGGCATATGACTTCCCGGATGCTCCTGCAATTTGCGCCAGGACGCCAACCAGAAGGGCAAGGAGAGAGCTTGGGTCACATGAGCCTCAAGCAAAACCTGGATAGGCGTGACAGTCCCAGGCCCATAGGGTCGGATCTGCATTCCTGACACGTCTTAGACCGAAGCCTTTTGTTTTTGCGCCATTTGACTTATACTTGCTGGCTTTGCATCCGATTCGCCAGGCGCCTAAGGACCAATTGCCAATAGCCCTTCATTTTACCAAACGGAAACCAACATTTACTGGATGTTTACTGGTTCAGTTCGAGAGGAATCGACACTCCCTGAGTCCAGCACTTTCAACTTTCGTGAAGACCAGTGTAGTGGTAGGCTGACCGGGCGGCTCCAAGCAACCTGGGGCACAAAAATCCGAAATGCTGCACGTCGGAAAGCACCGGTTCAGTGGCACCCAATTCCAAAAAAATGCAACCCTAAGGCTTCCGATTCATTGGGAGCATTGTTTTATTATCGGGTTGGTGCCGAATTCATGCTGGAAATCCCAGGTTTGCGACAATAATCCTGCTGGAAATCCCAAGGAATCTCAGGCTTGCGACGGGTTACAAGTCCACTTTCCCCTCCGAAGTGTCGCTTGAGTCGGTTCACGCGCGCGGCGCCATGTCGCGCGCGGCTCGCCAGCTGAACGCGGTCCTGGTACAGGCCGATGGCCCGTAGATCCTTCGCTTGGTACGTGCACGAGGCCGGGCACGCAGGGGGGAGGGGAGAGTTGGGGGGGGGGGAAGCATTCAGAATAAAAAGGCAAACGATGAAAAGTGCGTTTTTTTTTTTCAATCCACTCAGCATGATGACACCGGAACCACCCACTGAGCCACCCAACCACCCACAAGTTACTGAACCAAGCCCCACCACACACAGCGTCCCTCTAAGGATACACTGGGGCCATCAGCAAAGATGCATTTCTGAGTTGCAGAAATCAACCAATTGTGGAGGGGGGCGGGGGTAAAAGCTGAGGTGTATGTTAAGTATCCCATATTCCTTAGACTTCCCAAAGGACTCCAACATGGGATGGTTAGGTTTTCCAGACCCCTCTTTTGAGCACCCGAGTCAGGTCGGCACTTTCACCCACCAATTAAGTTTGAGTCCATGGCAAGCCTGCACAGTTCTGCATTTCTAATGGCGAGTTCATGAATCGATTTGGGGTAAAGCGAGCGAATAGCCGCGATGGTCCCTTGTTTGATTCCATATTTTCAGGCTTGGGAATGGCAACAGCATTTGCAGATTGATCCATTTGCCGGGTGACCAAGAATCTATAATTCGTTCTAAATGGAAACGATGATCAAAGCAGAACCCATGGGTCCTATAATTGTTCTATAAATGGAAAGGATGATGAAAGCAGGACCCAATCTATAATTGTTCTAAATGGAAATTCGCTGATCCTCTTAAAAATCAGAAGGTGGATTTTAGCGGGGTATGCCGTAGGGAGCCCGATGGCCGTCTAGGCTCCGAGTTCAGCGCAGTGAACCTCTCCACAGCCCTCCACCGCCTTGCGTGACGCGGGCGAACGTCCGCATCGGACATCGGTTCTGTCGACGCGAGTGCCCTTCGAGCGCGTGCCGCCTCTTGGCCTCGGTTGGTTGGCCAAGTGGCGGCTAAAAAGATAGATGGCCATGGGTCAGAATCCCGTATCCCCTGTGAACATCCCAATTCCCCCTAAAATAGACACCTACCCCAAAATGGTACCATTGGTTGTGACCCACAGCCAGATTGCGACATCAATCCTAACCCATTCTCGTCACGTGTGAGTTCACTCGACCGGAACTGAGGTTGCCGGACATGGGATTTGTGCCACCCACGTTTACCCCCACTTGGCACGATCTTTGTCCTTTCAGTCTTCCTCATGTCCCCTTGGCTATGTGTAAGACTAGGGTCTTTTTCCCACGAAATGGATCTTGGTTTTCATGTAGGTTTCCCTGCAAACCAACCCCGAGAGGGGAACATTAAAATTAGCGGCTGAAAGGAACATATTTGTTCATTCAGCTCAGAGGGGCCCGAGGAAATCCTGCCGTCAAGTGGCACTCCTTTCCAAACTCAAGCTATGTGAACTTAAGTTTCTCATGTGCCAAGGCCTTTATGTTGGGTTGTTTACATGTTCTTTCTTGTGGACGGGGTGCAACCGTAACAAAACGAAGCAACAACCAAAAGAGAGAGAGAGAGAGAGAGAGAGAGAGAGAGAAAGAGAGAGAGAGAGAGAGAGAGAGAGAGAGAGCGAGACCGCGTACCCGGTTAGCTTAAGGTTATTAGGAGACAATTCCAGCCATGAATTGGTGTGGATATCCGCACTTGTTTATCCGTTTTATGGTTTTGGGCCAGCCAATGTTCGTCCCAAATCCCCTTGCACCAAATGGCCCCCTTTGAAATTGATGCCCATTCGTTGCTGTTCTCTTGTTTGTGGTGATATGTTTCACGTTAGGGGATTTTACAGGCCTGATTTGGTTGCTTTGTTTCTTACTCTCTGTCCAACAAGCATGAAGATAAAGGATTTGGGACAACTACCATGTGAAGGCCCCGGATGTCCACTTCCCATTAATGCTTGGAAAGAGGGTAAGGCTTCGTGTGGTTGTCCGAGACTTTGATATTGCCTCTTGAGCATGCCCAGCATTTCATGGTTCCCAGGACAAGAAATCCACTAGCCCAAATTTCGCCGTGTTCCTTTGGGGCGTATGGTTTCCAGGTGCGTCCCTGGAGTCTCCACGACCCTTTCAAAATGGGTCCATGACTCATCCATGACCCCATTATTGTGGGTGACCCAGTTGTTTCAGCTCCCGGTACAGCCCGGGGGGGGCGGGAGACGGGAGACGGAGCCCAGGCGCAGCTTCTGCCGCACTCCGACGCCCGGGCCCCGGCCAACGCCGCCCGGGCCTTCGCCGCCTCGAAACTCCCCGCGGCTCCGCCACCCGCGGCGCCCGCGGAAACCCTCGCCGCGGAGGCGGCGGAAGCGAAGCCGCAGGAGCCGGCCAACGCCGCGCAGGAGGCGCGGGCGTTGAAACGGGCGGAGACACACACCGTGTGGTTGTTGCTTTTTTTTTTGTTCTTTGGTGGTCGTTTTTTTTTGTTGTTGTTGCTCCAGGGTTTTTGTTGTTTTTTTGTTTCCTTTTTCCGGCCTGGGTTTGGGGCGGGTCGTAAAATTATCAATTCGCCCACGGCCGTTGGCCGGCAGCCTTGATTTGTTCTTCAATTTTGGGGTTGATTTGAACCCCGGTAATATCTAAGGGAGGCATGGCTCTTGTTCATACCCCTTGGCTTAGCTTTCCTGTTTACCAACTCGCTTGCAAAAGCAAGCGAAAGGGTTTATACTCCTTTTGTGGTGAGACGCATGAACATTAGCAAATCTTGGCGGGGTCATTCGCATGCAAAAGGGGTATGTACAAACACCCATAGACTACAACCCTGTATCCGAACAAATGCGGCTTGGCGAGTCTTGGCGATCTGGTTGGGACCCAGAAACGGAGGAGGTGCACTTAGATGCGCATTTTTAGTGTTCTGCACTTGGTTACGTAAGGATTTGGTTCCCTTTGCGGTAGCGTCTTCGTAGAGAATTGGACCCTCCAGAAAAGTAATGTTGACCCCATATTAATCAACCCCAGTTTATTACTATAGGGGTGTCCCTGGGTTTAGTGGGGAATCATAACTTTTGGAGGGGTGTTCTCCCCTATGACAAAACTAGGGTTGATTAGTACGGGGTTCCCATTATTTGGGGGCCAAAGCACGTGCCCCTGGACAGGTACCCCTCGTATCCCACTGGGAAGTATGCCCATGCACCATTCATGTACCCATTGTGTACTTGGGCTTCCGTGGTAGTTTGCAGGGGCACCTACGGGCCTACGGGGTACTTGGTTGTTGCCTTAGTCATTAGAACCACCTGAAAGAGCTGCGTGGCGCTTTCGATCCGAGGTGGGCGTGACCCGACGCGAAGTGCCCGGCTTTTTGATGATCGCCGAGGCCTTTGCTTCGAAGCTCCCAGGCGCCAGTGCGCAGACTCTCGGCCTCGATTCCGTTCGTCGGAGGGTACATGGACCCGGAGTAGCCACTTTTTGCCAGCCACTTCACCCACTAGTAGACCATAACTTGGAAAAAGTAGCTGGAGAATAAGGGCAACTGGGGATCCAGGTACCCTTCAAAAGAGTAAAGAATTAAGGGAAGCACAAACAGTGCTTTTCTTTCGCCAAAAACGGGCAGGGTAATGTGGCAGTTATTTTTCCAGAGCTGCAATTTTGCAATCCAGGCTTTCTACACGGGATGCGGGTGTTTATCCTAACATTACATTACTAGCCTATCGGGAGCTCGCCCCTCCTTGCTTGCCCCCACCCCGCACTGGCTATCCTGCAGATCAACATGGAACCCAGAACCATCCATGTTCAGCAGAATCGCTGTTCGGGGAGGATAGCCCTCCCTCTCTCTTGGGGAAGGAAGCCCGCTTGGATTCCTTGTTGACTAGTTGAGCTGTGCTTGACGGGCATGATGGTAGCAGTGGCTTGGATGCTGGGCTTGAGTTGAAGAATGTGGTCGTCGTGTGGTCCCGAAGCCTGGGACGTAAATGCATGCGGTTCCCACGAAGACACGTCATAAGGTCTGGTTTTGTGTTTGGCTGGCATGGTCAGGTGGCTTTTGGTACCGCGCATCGTCAGATCCAGTTGCTATGGGGGAGGGAACCCAGGATTAATCAAGCCCTGGGCCCTTGGTTGATTTAATGCCGCCACGCGAGGGCAGTCCCCAATTTTGGGAGCCAGTCCCCAATTTTCCAGGTTCTGCTTCAATTTGCGCAGCCACTGTGATGCCTCACGCCATGCGTTTTACCCAGGGTCCTATATAGGGGAGAGTCCTACAACAGCGGCACCCTGCTTGGATGAAGCAGCTCACTCCCCGAACTCCTTGACTGTAGTCACTTCTTGGAGAACACGGCAAGCATTGGCAATCAAACAGTTTGGTTACTTTTTGTGGCCAATCCAGTTGATCGGAGAGATGGAAAGCCAAGAGTCGACCAGTTCAGGGACCCCTTCGAGTAGAGTTGTTGTCCTGTGCCAGGGGTTTGGAGTGCTGGAATCGCCGCATGAAATGAACTGGAAGGGCCTAGGAAACCACCAAAGAATCATGGGGCTCATTCCCTGGTTCACCGGGATGGAGCAAGACACAGCACTTTCGGTAAACAGGTGTTCCAACATTTAAGTGGCGCTTGGTAGGTATTTTGTGTGTGTGTGTGCGTTTTTTTTTTTTAGTGGCTTTAAAGGGAAACCAGAAGGAACACAGCCATGGGGGGTCCCCTAAAATAGACACACCCGTTTGGCAACTTTGCCTTTGTTTTCCGACAGCATCATGCACCCAATAAACGTTGTTTTGTTTTTTCGCTGCCACTGGAGGTTTGAAAAGGCTAGCCGACCGAATCTGCAACGCTTCTCGCCAGCTCACTTGGGTAAAGCGAGCTTATGAAGGTCCCTTTTTGGCTTTCCTTCAAGCCACCAACATATATTTATTAATCCTGGTTGGTCGATTCCTGGGCGAGGATTTGCGAATCTTTTCCGCTGCGGGGGAAAACACACACACACACACACGCAAGTCAGAGATTTAGAAGCTAATCATGGCGAAGCTGGAATTTGCACAGCAAAAGACGCCCGCAAAAGGGGCATCGTTTTCCGGAAGTTGGCCAAAACCGCTGGTACTTGGTTAATATTCGGCGTTTTGTGTCCTGCTCCCGCATGCTCCCGCTTGGCGATCCAAGGAACACGTCGAACATGATTTGGCCCTTGACACGGCCGGCATCATTTCGCGAGCCCTCCTTTCACGCGGCCGCGGGGCGCACGGAGCAGTAGATCCATGAACTCGGGGCGCAGGAGCTGGCGAATAGGGGGCGGACATCCAGGACGGCCGCTCAGACAGGTGGGTTGCAGTTCCTTTTCTTTTTGGAGGGGGGGGGGCAAAAAAGAGCAATTTTATTTGACACTCTCCTCTTAGTTTCACCTTTGGAACCGGGGAATGGTTCTCACAAACATTTTCCCCCCTTCCCCGGACTGGAGGTCTGGAAAAACAAGCTGCTTTGGTGTTGCTTTTGAGGTGGCGACCTTCGGGGCTAGTGAAGGGAAATCAACATGAAGCATGAAACCACTCATTTGCATCTTCAATTTGGTAGGTGGTGCCAGCCCCTGGTTTTTATTCGGCTGTGAGGCCGTTCGTGAACCAAGGTAAGACTCGTGCGCAAGGCGACTATGGCTTCGATTCTCCAGAGGGCGGTCACCATCTGCTCGCAGCCGCAGAACGCCTCCAACGTCTTGCGGACTTGTGCTTCGGCGCGCTCACAGCACCCGCTGACACAGGAGCTGTCGTCCTAATCGCCCAGCTCGGCACAGCTCGGCCCTCAGGCGACATGGCCGTGGAAAATCGGCTGGGCAGGTTAGGGCCAACTTTTGATACAGAGCCTAACCCGCTTGAACGTACAGGGCCAAATTCTCTGATACCAAGGCTAACCCTTTTGAAAGTGACAAATCAGTATAAAATAATGAGTGGTACCGATGGCACACTGTGGTACTGCAGAAAGGGCTCTTTCCCATGTCAGGCGATGGCCAACACGCTGTGGCCGTGCGCCGTGTTACGCATGGCGAAGGCTCCTTCCTCCACTTTGCCACCGCCGACTTTCATAGGACTACCCGGTTTTGAGGTTCGGTCAAAATATTTCCCTTTAACCTACCACTTTGGCGGGCTGGCTTTGACAGTAGTAAACTATTAGGGCATTTTGGGGCCAATGAGGAATCCTAAAAATGCGATTTTCTTTTCGGTTTCCCCTTGAAACCAGCCCTTTTTTGGGGTGAAGTACTTTTAAGGTGTGTCCCTTGGGCACTTTGAAGCCTGGCACAACCCCAGGACTTGGGCGCCAAGAGCTGGCCAACAGCGCTCGGGCGTCAACGTGGCCGCTGGCTTCAGATGGCCCGCTATCGCAGCGATCATCGCAGGCCGTACACCTTGAACCGTTTGAGATGATAAACAAAGAATATATTTGCATCCAACAGGTTCAGGGTTGAACGCTTAAGGCTCAGGGTTGTTTGCAATTGGGCTCCATGTGTCCTTCAGTGATACTTGCCTTTCACGTTGGCTGCTATTGGGTTGGATCCTCAAGCCATGTGCTTTAGGACACATACACACTATTGGACTACAAACCATTTGGACCTTTTGGAGGGTCTTTGGGAACCGCCTCCTTAAACTTGCTTGCTCAGCAGGGAACGTGGGAATGAACCGAAAGGGGGATCCCGAATACTGCAAAGGAAGCCACAAGTTGGATGGTTTACAGCATAGGTTTCCTTTTTGGTTTAGTTTGTTTAGACGGGGTTTATTCCATTTACCAAGGCCATCTATTCTTCCAAAAGGCCATACACGAGTTATAGAGGGGTCATTCCGATTCCCTATCGCACCAGCACAAAAAAACGCCCACCTATGCTTGGTTGCTTTCTGCTCCCCTGCTAAAAGTTTAACTTTTAGTGGTTTAATGGAACACCCATTCGTTGGCAAAAAGTTAAAGTCCTAACATCCAAGCAAAATGCACCAAATAATGGTTACCAGCATGGGTTCCCTATCGCACGAGCCGGTTTTTGCGCCGCAGGCGGTGCTGAAGCAGAGCTTCTCGGCGCAGGAGCTGTCCAGCGCAGTCTGGGCCTTCGCCACTTCGCAGCTCGCAGGCTTCCGCTTTTGGCGGCTTGGACGACCTTCCGGGTGGGCTTCGGATGGGGTCAAGGGGAGAGGGGGCCAAAAGAGGTTGTTCAAAAACCCGTTCTTCAATTTTCTGAAATGAATGTGTGTGTGCGTTTGTTTTTTAGTTTCCCTTGTTGGTTTTAAACGGATTCGATTTCTGTGCTGGACATTTTTCCCCCTTTTTCCGGGAGCCTGAGCAAATGGGAGGTTCAGGTTGGCCCCATATAAATGTCAACCCCAGTTTATTAGGGTGTTTTGCGGGTTGTGGGGAATCAGACCACTGTTGGAGGGGAACACCCCCCCGATTTATAAACTGGGGTTGCAAAAGATATGGGGTCAATAGTACTGGGTTTTAATCAGGGCGTTTCTTAAAGAAGCCTACTTGGCCAGGGTTCCAGCAGAAGGGTGCGCTACGGCCACGTGAAAGGTCACCTTTGCCAGCAGTTTCACGGGGATCCTACGTGTATCAAGGGTACATTTGGGCCAGTTCAAAAATCACCGAAGTGCCAGCTGATTTTGGAATGGGCAAATTGACAAGTCTAAAATGGCTAGTTCTGGTTACCCCACCCTTGGATACCAACCAACCAGGGGGTTGAACCTTTTTGAGAAGCTCCCAAGAAGTCATGGTCCCTAATGGCTCGACTTCCTGATTTGTTCAACTTGAAGTAGATAGGCAGACCATCACCTGCTCAGAGCAGGTGGCCAAAAGCGGTTTGCATTCTGTTTTTGTTGGCAGACCCCTTAGTAGCATGCAAGAAAGCAACACTTGTTCAAACATGGTTCAACAAGGGGTCGGCCCAGACTCCCTTTATTTGGCACCCAAATGGATACCGTGTGTGTTTTGTGAGGGTAACCTTGTCATGACTTTTTGGTTGGGTGAGAGGGAAGCGAACAGGATGCCAATCATTCTGGGGCTCAAACCAACTAGGGGCACATGGGTATGTGTCAAAGTAACCGCACACTAATATTGTGGTTTTCTTAGGTTTCCCTCTAGACTAGCCTGAAAAGAGGCACCCTCTACAAACATAGACCCGCATTTTCCCTCCCTGAGTTGTTTTTTTCTTTATACTTTTGGGGTCTTTGCCATTTGTGTTGGCAAGCCACCAGTTTGGATTTCTTGGGCATAGGATTCCACGCCCTTCCCTCCTGTGTCCAAAGAAAAGCCGTTGACAAACAGGACGAAGAAAGTAATTATTTTCCAATGAGCGAAGCAACTCCCAGGTTTAGGGTTGAACTTTGACCATGGGATCTCCTTCAAGGGTGCGTCACCTGTTGTTGGTCCCTGTGAGTTGAGTTTCCTTTGGTATTGATGTTTTTCGTGCTGGTGCTCATCAGGGAATTACCGTTCCAGGTGTTGGAAGGGGATTCCCTTAAAGAACACCAGATCGGATGGATGGCCTTTCTCTCAGCCATTCCAATTCTTATTCCCCTATCGAACCCGCCAAATTTTAGGGGATAAATTTCGGGAATTTCCGTACCAAAAAAATATCAACGCAGGATATCAACGGTTGGTTAACCAAACAGAACAATAACAACATATCACAAAAAGAAAGGAACACACATTTGGCTGGGTCCTAGATAGGGGGTCGCGAAAAATGAGCAAATACCCATCCCCTGGTTTGTCTGGAAAATAAGCGGCCTGGGTTTTTGTCACCGACTTCCACAAACCTGAGGTCCTACTGTGGATGGACAAACTTCTGCACCACTTCGAAACCATGGGAAAGCATTGTTTGTTGGTATTTGCAAGGGAATCGAATCATTCCAGGGATTCTTAGGTACTACGAACGGATTTCGTCCATCCACAGTAGGGGGGCTGAAAAGGAACAAAAATCCCACGGCTGAGGCAGTCCACCAGTTGCTCCCTGCGCGCCGCAGGGAGCCTTGGGCCGCAGAGCTCCTCCAACGCTCTGCGGGCCTTGGCCACGACGCAGCGGCGCGATTTTGCGCCGGCGGAAGCCTCGAGCCAGCGGGTGGAGGCCCAGCTGTGGCTTGGCCTCCGCTGGTTCGCTGCTGTGTTGTTTTTGTTTGAATAGTTTTTGTTGTTGTGTGTTTTTGTTTTTTTGTTGCTCTTTTTGTTTTTGTTTTTGTTGTGTGTTTGTGTTGTTTGAGTTTGTTGTTTTTTTGCATTTGTTCTCAGTCTTTCTCTGTTGTGTTTGTTTGTTGGTTTCGTTTGTTGTGCAGTGAAGTGGCTGCCAAAACGGAAACTTTGTTTCCACAATGCCAAGGTTTGTGGAAGTAGGTGCCCAAAAACCCAGAGCGCTTACTTTCCAGACAAACAGGGGGTTGGTACTTGCTCATTTGTTCCAGACCCCGTATCCAGGACATTCCAGGACCCAGCCAACCTGGGTACCATTTAGCTGATCGATTTCCTGGGTCTCTGCTGTTCCTGAGGTGCCAGTTCGCGCCGCAGGCTCCGGCCAACGGCGCTCGAGGTTTGGGGCAGATGGACATGGAAGAGGCGCCCCCGCTGTCGGCTACCGGCGAGGCCCGGGACTGAGGGGTTTCCCTGGGGGAAAGCAGGGTTTTCCCTTCACAAGCTGGTCATTTCAGTGGTGGTTGCTGGAGGGTCCAAAAAAGGAGGAAACCGTGGACACCTGGTCTTACAAAGGTAGCCATGGCTGCGGACAATGTTTTTTGTTGTTGTTGGTTTTTTTTTGGGGGGGGCGGCCATGAAAGGCGGTGTTCGAAAACGTGCACGTTTCTTTCGCGGCTACCTGTTCCCACATGCTTAATGAAACCAGAAGGGAGCCTCCGGCAGGCAGGCAGAAACAGTAAACGGAGGCCAGCTTCAGGTTCTGGGAGAAAAACATTGGGAATTGGGGCTAATCAACTTCTGCTTCCCTTGTATTGGTGATTTGGATTGGTGTGCCATTTGCCCTCTACAAGAACCAGAGGTTCAAATCCCGAAACAAGCGGTTACCAGCATAGGTGTCCTTTTTGGTTGGTTTGGTTGAATAATAAAGGGCCCTGGTTGATTTGGCGATTCAATCATCTACCACCATCTATGTTCCAAAACAGACACCTATGGTTTGTAGGGGTCATTCCCATTCCCTATCGCAGCCAAAAAAAAACTATGGTGACCAGGTGGTTGTGTGCGTTTTTTTGGGGTTCTGGGAACCTACCCCTCTGGGACTAGGCCCCTACTAAAATAGACTACAGCAAAAAGAAACGGTCCCCTTCTTCCAACCTCTCTACTGGACCCAGAAGACCCCGGGACCCCCCCTTTTCGGCTGCGGTGAGGCGAGTTTGGTGCAGCTGGCGGAGCTCAAGGCCCCGGAGCCGGCCACCACCGCGCCTCGGCGTTCCGGTTTCCACGGGTCCAGAAAACGTTGGGTTCCTGAAGTGGCACGAAGAAAACCACGCCCGCAAAACCTGCTAGTGCTCAGGGAATGATTTTTTTTTTTTCGGGTGTTGGGAATAAACCGTTTGGGGATTCCCGCAAGGCGGAAACCTAATCGGATGGACAGTTTATTCCCTGCCTATCGAATCAGCCTATGGACAGTGTATTCCCTGGATTGGTCTACAGCATAGCGTCATCAGCTTCCTCATGTGCCACCGGCGAGTCCGGGCCCATGAACTTCCTCAAGCTCCGGGCCGCGTCTTCAACCGAAACCGAACCCGTGGACGCGTGGACTTCCTATCACAGCAAAATAGGTCCCCAGAAGTGCCCGTTTACCCTTTTTTGGGGGAGTTCCCCTACTAAACTAGAGTACAGAAAAAGTTGGTACCCTTATTCTAACCTCTCTACTGGAGGACCTAGAAAAGGTATTCCTCACTCCCAGTGATGAAATCAGACCGCCACCGAGGCCTGGGGTTTCTCCCGTTTCACCGCCACCTACCTGCGCCTCATCACGGCCCTCTCGGCGGAGGCGGAGCTGCGGATGCTGCAGGGCGCCATGGACGAAGCTTCCGCGCCGCGGCACGCAGTTGGCAGCGATGTGGGTGTGGGTCAACAAAAAAAAACAGCTGCGGTTACGCAGGGTTTAGTCTACCTTTCCATTTACCAGGGTTTCATTTTGGACCGCGATTTTTGACCCACAGCCATATATATTACCCCTCTTGCAAAGAGCAAAGGTTGGGAGGTTTCCATGCAGCCAGGTTCTCTTCGCCTCGTTTGCCAGTGGCAAATATGGTCGGAACACATGGAAATTGAATCGCATCCTTCCATTTGCTTAGAATTCCCTTTTATGGTCACTTGTTGGTGCCAAAGGGAGTCTATCACTACTGGAATTATGCTTTGTCTTTCGGGGGTCACATCGCCTTTTTGGGCCAGCTCAAAGTGAGGTGGCGGTGATGGTAGGGGGGATATACACGATGCGTTCGTGGCGGTTCATGTATTTTGTGAGGATGTGTGGTTTGTTTTGTGGGTGTTGTGCGACCATTTTTCCAGGCGCTTTTTCACTGCTGGGGCGTTTATCGCAATTTGCGGACGTTTGCGCTGTAGAAGAAACTGCAAGAAGCAAGTACTTGTTGGAATATCCAGGAACCTCATATTTCAAGTTTATTTGGCCAAGTGAGTTAGTGGGCGGGGGCGGGGGGGCTGCCAAAAACGCACTTTGTTACTATCATGCGAAAAGTTGGGGAAGCGTCCTGCCCAAAAAGACGTTCTTTTCCTGTGAAATGAGCTTTTGTTTGCTTTGTTTGTGAGGGGCTTCCCTTTAAAGTCAACTATCAACAAAACGAGGGCCCTTTTTTCCCCCACTGGCGGTCTGCTTGGGTTTGAAAGGGACGCCAAAGTCGAGCCTGTGGGGGACTTATGTGGGGAAGGCTAATAGTCCAAACTGGAGAGGTGCTCGGGGAGTGGTATGTTTTGGGTAGCGTGAAGGAATTGTTCCCATTTTTTGGGGGGTCCCTCGTTTCGAGAAGACCCCAACCGTGAATCAGTGGGATCCTGGACCCTTGCTAAGGTGCCACAGGTTTTTTCCTGAGTTGCTGGACATTGAACTTTTGGGCCTGCATGTCTTTGGCCAATCCTGTCAGGAAGCGAGCATGAGAAGGGACTTGTCCTCTTCGGAAAGGGGCTTGTGCACTTTGCTTGTTGGTTGGAGTAACTTTGAGCAACTGACACTCACTCCCCTGAGTTCCTGGTCTTCATACTTTGGGTTAGACCAGTTTGGTAGCAAACAACAAGTTTGGACTTTGTGTGGCTAACAAACTCAGGAAGTGAGGCCAAACTGATCATCTGATTCTTAGTAAGTCTATACCTTTGGTTTGACGGGGGGGGCGCCACCCCAAGCCCCCTGCAGAAGTTTGTTGACTCATTGGGCCCAAGACATTCGACCACCGCGACAAACAAGAGTTCTCCCAACTTCAGTTGAACTCCCTCGGAGGAGAGATTTCCCTTTGGGTGCTTTAGCCATTACCTTGCTTCGTCATGGTAAACATCACGCAACACCTGGAGGCGACACTACCCAGTAACAAGTACTTGGTGGGTCCCCGTTTTCAAATGCTCAACCCAGAAAAGAGTTCCTCTTCGAAATACCTTGAACCGTTCCGCCCACATCAAACAACACTAAAGCAGGCTTCCATACTCGGTGCAGGGTCCAACAGGATGCCCGCGGTGTTTTGCTGGGTGCCAAAAGAAACCAATGTAAAGGGGGTGTGTTGGAAAACCGCTGGATCCATTTCGGCTTTTTTGATGGTACCCGCGGGTTGTTTTTTCAGACGGACGCCCAACGGTCACCGCACCATTTTTGGGGTCTGGCCACGGGGCCCCTCCCCTTGGAGGCTAACATGAAAAGCAACTCATGTTTCGCCTTCACGTGAAAACAAGGCAACACTTGTTGTTTCAACAACCTCGCTTTGGCTTTCCTTTCAAGAATCCCATTGGTTGTCCGGGGGGGTCTAGGCCGCGATGCTGTTGGAAGCGCTGGCGGTCCTTCCCTCCCTGGATCGCGCATGGGAGCTCTTGGAGACTTTGCAGTGCACAGATCAGCGCCTTGGTCCGTATGTGTCCGTAGGTTGTTCCTTTTGGGGCACACAGAAAAACATATTATACAAATATATGTACGCATGAATGGTGAGATCATGTAGTTTCATAAGTTAGTCTACTGCAAAACCTAAAATCGTAGGGTTGGAGGATACCCCATATATGCTCACTCAAGTTCCTGAACTTTCCTGGGGTGTGGACCATTTGAGCAGCGAACAGTTTGGTTACTCCTGTTCAATCCACTCAAGTAATTCAACCCCCCCCCCATACTCATTGGCCGAATCTCCAAGCAACTGTTAAGGGGAAATGTGTGCGTTTCCGCTAGTCACTAATATGATCTAATCCCAATAGGTGCAAGGACTTCCACCCACAGTATCACTAGCCCACAATCTTACTGGTAGTGCTGCTATCCCGCAGCATGTTTCCCGACATAGGACCTTCATGTGGCCTTATTTGGCTAGTCTTTGGGGACCGGCAAGCCAGCGGCATTTTTAGTTTGCGGAACAACAACACAACAGGAGATTTCCATGCAGCCAGGTTCGTTTTTTTTTTTTTTTTAATAATAAAATCCCTTGTTGGTTTTAAGGGGAAGTACTTTCACTGCTGGACATGTGCTTTCATGTTTTGCACGGGTCTTATGTACATGGACGCATCCAGGGCCGACGGGCCGACGGGCTCGGCTAAGGCTGGGACCAGGTCTTGTGCCAGGGCTTGGTCCTCTCTTCTGCCGTGCCGAGATGGATTCCATGGAGGTGGACCGCTTGCTGCAGCTGATGGCTGCTTCATCCCAGGCCGTTTCGGCTTCTGTAGGCTTCACACGGAGTTGCGCAAGGTAGGATAATGCACGGGATAAACAAAGCAAGGAATGGGGTTGTGGGGTTCTTCAATGCAATATGTGGATAAGCTAAGCATGTGTAATTCATTGGGCCCTTGCCAAGCATTATCCAATGCAGTCGCACATGGAAAAGTATGTGTCCGTCTGACCCCCGAATTGATGAAGCGGCTCTATTTTGTTGAGTCTCCCAAAAACCATTTTTTGGGGGGTGTCCATGGGTTAATCAGTGATCCACATTACCAGAAACAAGCATGTGGGGGCATGTAGACGCAAACCTCTTCTTGGTTGGTTCAGGGGAACTAAAAGTTGAGACGCAGAGTCCTCTTCTTGGCTGGTTAAGGGGAACTAAAAAGTAAACGAAGCATTTCTGGGAATTTGATTCCTTTGATCATGGGGGCTGGGGGGGGGAGAGAGGGGACGGGGGAGGGAGCCCTCATTAAGGCCTTATTAAGGCCCTTATTTAGGGCTTATTCGGGCTCCCTCCCCCTTTTCCTCCCTCCCCCCCCCCGGTTCTGGTTCTCATAATTTGAGACCCCCTACCTCCCACAATTTGCGCCGCAGGACCTCGCGGGCCCGGCGCGCCTCGCCGCCGCCCTCCACCTACTTGGCCGAGGCCACGTCTCCGCGGCGCGGCGCGGCTGGCCATCGAAGGGCCTCAACGCGGGGGCGCGCGGCTGGAGCTTCGAGCAGCTGTTGCAGCTGCTGAAAAAAAAGGGCGCAGTTTTCCCGGGGAGTCGGGGGCTCCTTCAATTGGCTAGAATGTTCTATTATTATTATTATTAGTAGTAGTAGTAGTAGTAGTAGTAGTAGTAGTACTAGTAGTATTATCATTATTATCTTATTATCATTATTACATGTTTATTGTCGTTATTAGTTTATTATCATTATTATTATCATTTTATTATTAGTATTATTATTATGATTTGTATTAAACTTTTATTATAATATTTAGTATTATCATTATTATATGGTTCCCCTTGTTGGTTTTGAAGGAACACAATTTCACTACTGGATTTTTTCCAGGGGCTTAAGCACAAGGAGGTGTCTGATGGACACGGGCAGCCAAACTAAACACCTGGAGCTGATCTACAGGATCCCATTGCAAGATCTTCCAGGTGTTTTTTGTTTAAAGAAAAAAGGGCGTGGCTGCCGCGAAGTGAAATCTGGAGATGTCCTGATCCATTCGAGGCATTTGGTTTGTTTCCCTCGAGGGCTGCTTACAACTTGGGAGAAGGGCGGACTCGAGGCTGGAGGGCTCCAAGGTGACCCCTGGGCGATTTGGATCTTTAGACTTGACTTGTTGGAAAATGAAGACGTGGTGGTTCCCAGCCATCCGGTTCAGCCCAGAATAGCTTCCAACTTGCCTGCAAAAAGGTCAAACGTTTATTGCTTCCGGGCCATCCATTATTCTGAAAGGAACGCGAAACAAGTTGAGGCAAGGTCTTGTTGATTTAGTGGGCTACATGGTTTCCACGGCGGGACTTCCGAACCACGTTTCAAGGTGACAACGAAAGTGGGTAAGCCTACGTCCTACTTGCGTATCCCAAATGGATGCACTTCAAAGTGACTAAGTGTAAAGCAAAAGAGTTGTTTGGGATCATCGAGTTGCACAGGCACCATGGGCGCTCTGATCGGGGGAAGACCTTGCAATGCATAAGGGAGGGGATTGCAAGATTGAATCTCTGGTGGCTAGCAGAAGTAGTCATAGGTTTTCTTGTTTAGGTTGGTTTGGTGTTGGGCTGCATTCCATCTACCAGGGCCATTTGTCCGTCTTTCCTCAGAGGGGATTATACCATTTTGGCCAGGTGCCACACCCAAAAGGAAGCCAAAAGGAAATTGAGATGAATCTCTACCCCACTGAAACGGGGAAGTTCGACCCCCCCTCCCATGAAGGTAGGGGAGATAGGCATGGGCAAGTGGCAAACGAGATTCTAAGTTGCCATTCCAGTTGGAATGAGAAAGTTTCCCCACCGAAGCCACGATGATTTGGGAAGTCGGCGCCAAAACCGGCTGCCAAGTCAGTGCTTTTTGAAGGTTTTTGCGCCAGGAGGCTTACCCAGAGAGCCCTCCTCTGGTCGTAGACAGCCTTGCCATCAACCCCGCCTTCAACCCCGCCTTCAACTCCTTTGGCATGCAACCGGGGCCGCTGGGCTGCGAGTGTTTGAATGGGAACCCCGGAAGCCAGTTGATAAACATGGGGATCCCCTTTTTGTTGTTTCTTTCTGAGGACGTCCCGAGAAGAATAAGATGGGTTCAACCAAAAAAACACGGTTGATAGGGGTTAGGATTGGGATTCGCCAAGCTTCCAGTTTGAACGGCCCAGTTTGGTTCATGTGAGCCACATCCTCGAAACCTGGGTAGATGAAGGTTAGCAAGGGACAGTCCCGCCCAGACACATAGTTGTGTAGTAGACCTCAAAGAGGCTTTGCTTGAGGTTTGTCTTGGTTGAGGATACCATGGAGGTCCGTTTACTTCTTGATCCCTGGCTTCATGCTTTGTAAGAATTTGTAGGTGATTCCATTTAGGGGTCGGGATGCCGCAAGCAAGCGGCGAGCAGCGAGCGACGCGTATCTTGGTACCGCTCGCCAAGAATTGTCAATGTATTGGGCTTAAGCCCGATGTGTAGAGCTCTTGTCTTCAATCGCTTTGATGCTCTGAAGTCGGCATTTGTGCTTGTGCTTATTATGGGGTCTGCTCCAGAACGATGTTTCATTTTGGGGTAGACCAACTATGAAACAGAATCTTTGTGTACCCCAAAGTGTCGGCCAAGTTGTTTTTGCACCTTTGCGTTCCAATGTTTTTAGGGCAATGGTCAAACAACTGTCCCGCAACTGTCCCTTGCCCTTCGAACACCGCCACAAACACGGGGAAACCACTAGTTTTCATGAGCGATCCTAGACACGGCTCCTGCGCGGAGCGTGACCGATACCGAGGTTCCTTATCATTTGATTCCCTGGCGCGTTCGGCCGGCGGCGGCTCAGTTCCATACCATGTGCTGTGCGCATGCGCATAGGCACCCAGGCGTTTATCTCAGTTGCCCAAAGCCGACCTTTTGACCTTTCATTTTTCCAGATTGATCCATGTTTAGTCATGGTCCCAAAAGGTTAACCTTAGGATTTTCTGGGTCCTTTGGGCAACTGAGTTATTCGGTTGCAACTCGATTATTATGTTGACCCCGGATTGGACCTGTCGGAGGCGAGCGTTTCACTGTTCCCCCCCGAATCAGAACAAAAGACAAAATTGGTTTCGAATATCTGAACTGAGACACCCCATATTGATGAACCAGGGGTTTATGAATCCGTCAAAAGTAAACCTTGCAGCCCTGCGCTGGCTGCGAAAGTGCGAAGTCCACCATCTAGATCTGCCTACGGCTGCGTGTTTTTCTTGACCGAATCGGCCAAAAGGAGACCTCTTGGTTTCTACAAGTTGGCCGACCTGTTGCTCGTTCCGGGATCTGGCTGAACTCTATGACAAGCTCACTAGGCGTCACGAGCTCATGAAACTGTGGTCACTTAAGGATGCGGCTGAGTATTTTGCAGATCTAGATGGCAATCCATGGGCGAGATGGCTCATGCACCTGTGGCGGGATCAGAGAAGCGTGTGGCCGCGGAAAGAGGTGGGTGTTTCCAGGCCGACGCCTAAAGATGATCTGTTTCCCATTTGTTTCTCTTTGACCACCACCCAGAGTTCTGTGTCAAACTTTGTGTGGCGTCACTTTTAAAAGATCCGACATGCAGTCCCAAAAACAACGGAAACACCCCAGAGAAGCGTTGGCAACCGCTCGAAAGCGCCTGCCTTATGTCTGGCTAAGCCAAAGTACCATGCACCAGCACGAGAGGCCCTCCTAGGTCTCATCACTCCCAGTAAGGCGGTAGTTATCCTTGTCGGGTTTAAAGGTGGAACATGTTGCAACCATGAAACGGTCGTCCTGAATACTGTGGCTCGTGTTAGGTCCACGGAAGCCCGATCATTGCTCCTTTCTGGGAGATAGGATGTATGACTCCGCGCCTGACGCTTGGTGCAGTTTCTACCCAAAGATGATGCCTCAGAGCCATGCACTTGCTGCTAGTTTTGTGTCCTGGTTTTCGTCCACATTCCCGCTGGCTGGTTGGTTTGTTTGCTTCTTTTGAGTTCTTTTGAAACAAGTCGGCTGCCTGGCAATGGGACTCAAATCTCGCGCCTTTCACGCGCCGTGCGCCAAATTCGGGGATGCCGGCCACCAAGCACTGGGAGAAAAAGAGAAGACCTCGGCGCTAAAGCGTGTCAGGATGGGGGTTCATTACCCCCACTCCTTTTCTGTTCCCTGGGTAAAGTGTATGTACTTCACTTGGCATGTGCAGAATGTTGCTTTGACGCAGCCCAAAAGCAGGTCCAAGCCTGAGAATGGTGTACTTGCACCCTCGCGCTGTCTCCCAGGGAGTTTATGGACTGACCGCCTGGAGATATCTGGAGATATGAGGCCCTCCCCGCCCAGAGGTTCGATCCGGACATATCCGGACCCTTCGATCACGCTTTCTAAGGTGAGAACCCTTCCCTAAACTAGGGTGTGGGGGGCGGAAAACAATGTTTTATCCTGAAGACGGGCGGTTTCCCCATGGTTTCTCGTGACTTCCCAGGTCTTCATCATCACGAGGCGCAAGAACTTGGCGAGCCGAGCCCTCGGGATCTCGGGAACGCTTCTCCTTAGCCAAGCTTTCACCTGCAACCAAAGCAAATCGGCCGGATCTGACCGGATCAGTTTCCCTGATGTGGCCTATTTTTAGTCATGGCCCAAAAGGTCAGCGTCATGTCAAGGTCTTTTGACTGAGTTTATGCTTTTCAGGGTGCTCCTCTTTTAAGTGGGTCCAGCAGGTTTAAGGGCTTATTCATCTCCCGGGGATCGGCGACAGCAAGCAGACAAGCATATTGTTGCATGCCAGATTTGGTTTGCCTCAGATTCCATCACTTCGGCGTAGCATGGGATCGAAAAGGCTCATGGAGATGGAGAAGGTGGAGCTCCGCGTTTCCTTCGAACCGTGTGAGTCGCCTTGCCCCGGTTTTCGACAAAAGGCAGAGCACCTTGCGGAGGTGCTCCGGCAGCTGGCGGAGGGAAGCAGAGGCTTTCGAGACGCGAAGGGCAAGTAGCGTGCTGATGAGACATCGCCATGCCAGGCAATGCTGGGGGTGGGAAGGTGTGAGTGATCTGAGTAGTTTCAGGCGCAGCCGTTGTTTGGAGGACTGCGCTGGGGAAACGAACCCCAAATGTTGGGATCATGGAAGCCAGGAGAGGCTGAAGCCCAAAGGGAACACATGCAAATCACCTGGCCAGCGAGCTACCGTGATTGGAGAAGGGCCAGTTCGCAGTGCTTCAAATAACCTAGGGCATTTAGAACTTTCATACTCCATGTAGTCCGTTGCCGGGGAGTATGAGCATTCCGAGTCTCACTCCCTCAGTTCCCGGACAGCCCAATTTCGTGAAAAGCCAAATCGGGGCGTTTTGGGTTGGTTGCTGAGCAAAGGCACTCCCACGCGATCCTTTCTGGCCCATCCCGCGGGAGCTCCGGCTTTGATTGCGCAGCATTGAACATGGAAGCATTGGCACTCAGAAATGTCCATTTGCTCAGAAGAATATTTGTCGTTTTCCCCTGTTGGTTTTAAAGGGAATCGATTTCACTACTGGAAACATGGTAGATTGCTTCAGGTTTTGGAATCCTGCTCCGCAGTGCTACACCTTCCAGTCCGGTTTTGCCACCCGATCCGAGGCCCACGAGTGCCGTGCTGGTTTGTGCACCAAGGGCCCGTTCGGAGACCTAGCTGCCAGCGAATGAATCGGACTTTGGCGTAGGAATCTCCGGAAGCTACGAGCCGGGATCAAACGGAAGGGTTTGGCTGAATAGCCATCAAGCATCAAGCTGATGAAGGTTCGTTCCTTCAGGGAGATGTGTGTGTGTGTCTTCTGGTCACCGAAGGCCAAGACTCTGCAAGCGAATGGGAAGGCCAACTGATTTTGACACAAGTTCCCTTTACTGTTGATTGGCACTTCCCCAATTCGCCGACTTGCGAAAATTGTTCGTTGGTCTGTGGTACCACGGCAATGCGCCCTCTTTTTTTGTTTTTGGGCAAACTATTGAATTATTGGTTGCTATTGGGTTGGATCTTTAGACCTTAGCTTTCTTTGAAAGTCAAGGGTTCTCTATTGAGCCCACAGAAATTATATTGTTTGCAGTGGGGTCAGTAGCAACCAAGAATTGTTTATCCTGTTTGACGCTTCAGTATATAGCAGGGTTTAGGTACTAACTGCGAGGCTGCGCTGTGTGGCGTGTTTCCTTTGCTACGATTGTTGGCAAGGCTGCCCATTTGCGATCGTCAAGAGCACCAGCAATCCGTTTGCCTTAACACATGCAGGCCCCCTTCCCAATGATATGGGAGCCTCTCAACATTGAGGATGTCAGGGGGGGCCCTATTTTGAGAAACACTCATATTAGGCGTGGATTTGTTTGCAGATAAACACCCGCTTTTTGTGGGGCCCTAATTTCCAGGCAAGATCAATATGTTGCCTTGTATTCATTGGGGCCGGGGTCCCTTACGAAGACCTCAACCCATACCTCCAGTGGGTGTTGCGGTGTCTTTGTTCAACTTGTCGTTTGCGGAAGAAGCACACTCCCAACAGAAGCGCCTCTTTTCCCTCACAGTGACCGGGAGTCTGGGCCAACATTGCAGCTTTGACGTCAAAACCTCAAATGGAATCTGGCATTTCGCCTTTTTTTGTTTTTCCCCTTCGAAATTGAAGGGCGTAAACTGAACATGTTCACACTTATAATTTGAACTCGCAGCTTGGAATGGGTTTTTACAATTAAGCTTCAAATGGTTTGCGAGACAAACCCCTGGTTTGACTGACTGGGGATGAGCGGGTAGTTCAGTACTGGCCTATTGAAGTTTAGTACTGGAGCGATTTTGGAAGATTTTCGGATGTGGGGAATCGGTTCATGAATTAGGTACATGTATTCTTGGGAGCAAGAGAGCCAACATGCTGTTGTTGTTGTTGTTGCTGCTGCTGCTGCCGCTGCTGTTGTTGTTGCTGCTGCTGTTGTTGTTGTTGTTGTTGTTGTTGTTGTTGTTGTTGTTGTTGTTGTTGTTGTTGTCGTTGTTGTCGTTGTGGTCGTTGTGGTCGTTGTGGTCGTTGTGGTCGTTGTGGTCGTTGTGGTCGTTGTGGTCGTTGTGGTCGTTGTGGTCGTTGTGGTCGTTGTGGTCGTTGTGGTCGTTGTGG